ACTACTGTAGAATTAGAATTACACAAAGAATGATTCATTTGTGATTAAGATCACTAACACACATACATCAATGCATCCTAAATGAGCAAGATATCAACTATGACATGGACATAATAAGGGACAGTTTACTTTTTTTAATGGTACCGGGTAAAGGTTGCTGTGCACCTTAAAAGAAGATCGATTTATTCTCATTTCCCATCACACAGCTCTATGATCTTAATTGTAGGACAGACCCAGTCCTAAAAGAAAAAATTATATTAAACCCTTCCCAAAGTATCTATGTGTTTATCATTTTAAAACTTTCAAGCTTAGAAGCTTTCTTACAATGCCCTCAATCTACACTTAAAACTACCCCCGCCACAGTAAACCTGCAGACTAAGCGAATTTCCATTTGCCTGATTAACTAACCTGATTAACTTCTTTATATCTATTTGTTTTCAATTAAATCTATTCAAATAACATTAGGTTTAACGAGTACCTAGGTTTGCTGCCTACAGGGAGGATAATACAGTGTGTTTGTTAGTAAAATATTAATAGCTTAGAATAAAATAAATAGATTTGCCAGGTTTGATCCAAATATATCCATAACAAGCAAACTAAAACAGTTTACTTATTCTCCATAAGAATAACATGGAACTTTTTAATTTACAATTTTCTCCGTAACCAATAATCAACTTCAATATACTAAATTATTTGTTTTTTTTAATTTCTTTAAAACGGTCTAGAGAAAGTTTGGGAAATTTTAAGTTTTGAGGGTCAAAAACGAGAAAAAACAATTTTTACCCCATAAATCCCCCCCATAAAACCATGTTCCCATGGTCCGATCATGCTAGTTCGCGAACTCGTTCGAATAAACGTTAAGTTTACACGTTTGTACAAAATTTCATCGAAGCTGGATCATTTTTGCTTGAGTTATCGTGCTAACACACACACATATACAGGGTGTTCATTTGAAAACTTTCCATATCTGTTGTGTGCAAAGGTAAGGCTTTAAACACTTGTTTGTTCTCATTTCCCCCTAATTTGGACATCCCAAATCCAATAAAATTATTTTCAATTTCGAAAAATGCCCCAAAAGAGCCCAATTTGGGGGGTAGGGGTGCTTTTTGAGAAATTTTCAAATGTAAACATGGGTTGTGTGATACATCAATTTAAAGGTCTAATCACCCCGACTGTTTTGGTGCAATAAAAATGTAATTATCTTTAACCGTATTTACAGGGTGGGTCAAAACGTTAAAAAAAAAGACTTTGAAGTTAAGTACCGAATTACCCGAACTACTGAACAGAACAGCGCCAAATTTCTTTCCAACCTTATTCTTGATCTACTCTTTAAGATAACTTGTAATAAGGGCATTTTCCATTTATTTTCAAATTTTAAAAAAATCTGAAATTTGAAGAATAAAAGAAAGCTGAAAACTCAAAATTCTTAAATAGCAAGGTATAAAAAATTTCATGCCACGTGAAAGGTCCTTTTTTAACAAACATTTTACGTATTTAAGTTTTCTTTCTATCTCTTACCGTTTAAAAATTGCAGTAGAAAAACTGAATTTTCCATAGTAATATTGTAACTAGTTTTCTAATCAAACAGCCAAAGTTCGTCTCTAGACACATTTAATGGTGCATTAACTGAAGGAAACAATTCATAATTATTGATACCTCTCGTTGTATTGTATTTGTTTGTTATTGACAAACAAGTCATTACGTTTTACTTTGTGAAAAACAAGTCTTATAGCTGATGAGGACAACCTACATGTGGGCCGCTTTCTGTAGTACCATTGACTAGTCAATGGTAGTACTAATTTCAAAAAGTACTATTTTCTGTAGTATCTAATCGAATATGGTGTACACTTAAAAAATAGACTTTATTTTTACTTATTGGACAGAACAAAAGTGTTTCAGGATAACTGCAAAGTGTTTAACAATAAATATCCAGGTAAGACCTTAAGTCATAAAGCTGTAAATGATTCAGTTAAGACATTTCTGAAACTGGCTCAGTTACCAATGAGAAAAGAACAGGATGAAGGGTCCAAGATGAACTGACACAAGTAAAAGTAGTTGATCAATTTGTAATTAATCATAATACATCGTTGAACAAAGTGCAATGTGTTTTGTTAGAAAACTAGTTATAATTTTACCATAGAAAATTCAGTTTTTCTACTGCAATTTTTAAACGGTAAGAGATAGAAAGAAAACTTAAACACGTAAAATGTTTGTTAAAAAAGGACCTTTCACGTGGTATGAAATTTTTTATACCTTGCTATTTAAGAATTTTGAGTTTTCAGCTTTCTTTTATTCTTCAAATTTGAGATTTTTTTTAAATTAGAAAATAACACGGAAAATGCCCTTATTACAAGTTATCTTAAAGAGTAGATCAAGAATAAGCTTGGAAAGAAATTTGGCGCTGTTCCGTTCAGTAGTTCGGGTAATACGGTACTTAACTTCAAAGTCCTTTTTTAAAACGTTTTGACCCACCCTGTAAATACGGTTAAAGACAATTACATTTTTATTGCACCAAAATGGTCGGGGTGATTAGACCTTTAAATTGATGTATCACACAACCCATGTTTACATTTGAAAATTTCTCAAAAAGCACCCTTACCCCCCAAATTGGGCCCTTTTGGGGCATTTTTTGAAATTGAAAATAATTTTATTGGATTTGGGATGTCCAAATTAGGGGGAAATGAGAACAAACAAGTGTTTAAAGCCTTACCTTTGCACACAACAGATATGGAAAGTTTTCAAATGAACACCCTGTATATATATATATATATATATGAATTTGAAAGGATGGTGTTTTTATAGCATCTAGGGACATCAAAATGAAAAAGTAAATCGGTCCAGGGTCCAAGTCTTACCATGAAACCAACGGTAATAGCTTTTTCCCTATATGGCAAATTCGCTAAAAAGGCAAATACCACTCACTCACTGATCACCATATCTCAAAACAATGTCACAATCATGCAATTTCAGATGAGTATGTTGCTTTACAATACGTTTTTGGCAGAATATGTCAAGAATTAGATTTTATGTATTTTTTAGAGAAATGTATGCATGATATTGACTTATCGAGTGTTAATAATTCCTTTTATTGGAGAGGTGAGAAAACCCACTTTTTATGTGAGAACATTCCACTTGGTAAAAACTTCATAGACACTGTAGACCTGTTAAGGGCCTTTGAGGGTTTATATCTTTCATTAAATCTGTCATAATGGATCTGTTGATTATATCTTTTATGTTACTTTAAGATACATTAATACTTTTCAATCAAGTTATGGGAGAACTAACTAACAGAGTAGGCCTATTGGAAAATTAGGTTTAAGCGTGTAAACCTATGTGAAAGGAGATACAGTGGGAATAGTTTTCTGGCCAATAACATTATTTAGATGGTTTCAGAGTGAGCAGTCTGAAGCTCCTGGTTATAGGATAATGTTATAAATGAAGAAGTTTTCCCTTAGTTTAACTTAAGTAGTCACATTTGTTTAACTTAAATTTTCGTGAGAAAATCCACGACGGGGTAAGCTAGTTAAACATAATATTACATCAATACTCAACTTAGATTAAGTTTCAATGACTTGGCTAATAAACAGGATAAGTTATTTAGCCGACCTGGAAACCAGGAAAACTGGAAATTGTACGTGAATTTTGATAATGTGGAATGTAGTAGGAGGTCGAACATTTGAAATTAGTAAAAGTCACTTTAAAAAATGCGTTGTGTGTCAATAAAAAAAATCACAGATCATAATCATGATGTTGCCCTACTTGCGGAAGTCGCCGCGGTTGTAAGAAATCATCACGGTTGTGGCAACAATTGCGAGAGATGATGACGGGTGTTGCTGTGATCGCTAGAAATCACTACAGTTGGGAAATCACCATGAAAGTGCCTGATATCGCAGTCGCAGGTAAATCATCATGGGTAATTTCACAATCAAGGGAAATCATCACGAACGTTGCTGTGATTGTGGAGATGCTCAAGACATTGCTATTATGGTAATAACAGTTTTGTAAATTTAAACAGGATTTGAAATCAAGTGGGTAAATAACATTGAGAACCGATCAACAGTATTCTTACTATAACCTACTGTTTTTTTTTTTTTTTTTTTTTTTTTTTTTTTTTTTTTTAGCGAATTTCCCTATAGGGAAGTAGCTATTACCGTAGGTGGCATGGTAAGACCTAAGCCCGGGAGCGATTTACTTTTTCATTTTGATGTCCCCAGAGGCCAAAAACACCATTCGTTCAAATTTTTATATATGTATATATATATATATATATATATATAGATTTATATATATATATGTGTCCGTGAACGCGATAACTTGAGTAATTTTTGTCCAATTTTGATGAAATTTGGTTTAAAGGTGTAAAGCGGGATAAACTTGAATGAGTTCGCGAACCAGCATGATCGGACCATGGGAACAGGGCTTTACGGGGGGTTTTATGGGGTAAAAATTGGTTTTTCTCACTTTTGACCCTCAAAACACAATGTTTCCCAATTTCTCTTTATACCTTTTTAAAGAGCTTAAAAAAACAAATAATTCAGTATATAAAAGTATTTTTGTACGGTTATTGGTAACGGAGAAAATTAAAAAATTGTAAATTTAAAATTCCCATGTTATTCTTATGGAGAATATTGTAAAATGTTGTAGTTTGGTTGTTTATGGATATATTTTGATCAAACTTGGCAAACTTATTTTTTTGTACTAAGCTATTAATATTTTACTAAAAAACACACTTTATTAGTTTCCTTGTAGCAGCAAACCTAGGTACTTGACCTATAATGTTATTTAAATATATTTAATTGAAAATCAATTCAGACAAATGGAAATTCGCTTAGTTGTCAGGTTTGCTGCGACGGGGGTATTTTTTTATAAAATTTGGAATTGGATTAAATATTTGAGACTAGTTTTATAATTTAAAATTAGTAAACTCATTAAATAAAAATACATTACCAGTACTCAAGTTTTCAAAGCTACTGCTGTTTGTGCTATGAGGTTATATCTACCTGGGAGGAGGATAGTAGGGATGAAGACTTGGTGCTGATTCCCTTGGTCGTGATGGTAATGTTGGCCTGAGAGCTCTGCGCCATGTGATGCTGAGTCTTCTCTTGGTTGCTGAATATCCCAGTGCTGCTGACCATCTGGCGCTGCTGCATGGCCTTCTGTAACCATTCAGAACGTTTCCACTGAATCTGGTTGTCCGGGGACCAGGTGAGCACCATGGTGCACAAACTCAACTATACAACTCACGAAGTTTGCACAGTTCAACTATAATGTCAACTCTAATGATTGAACGATATTCAGAAAACCTTTGTCGCTAAAGATTTAGTGTCCAAATTCTCGGCGATTACTGTCTTATGAAGTGCATACACTCTTTAACTTCTAATATGCTTTTTCCAGTTTCTTAGAGATTTGTAAAAGTTTCCACAGTGATGTTTAGTTTTTGGTGAATAGAAAGTATTTCAATCGGCAAATATTTTGTTTTTGTATTTAGTGATACCATCACAATAATTTAACAACAATTGAAATAAAAATAATATCCTAATTCGAAATAGGGTGTAGTAGGCAGGCTTCTAATAGATAATTAATGACACAGGCTAACAAGCGAATGAATTAAACACACTTTCTTCTTTACAGGAATTTTCTGAGTACAATTTAACGCTAAATAATACCCACAGTGAAACTCTTATTATTTATTAAGTAACAATACAGTATAATATGTTACTATATCACAAATACAATTCAACTGACTTTTGGTGTTCAAAATGGCCTTGAACCAATAAATGTCTGACTAAAGATTATAAATTAATAGTACTTTTCCAACTGAAATACATGTGAATTCTTTCAATATTTTTACTTGTAAACTTCAAACCCTGATAAATGTCAACAACCATCACTATCACTATTACACTTCCCACTGCTATCTCAACTTCACCAGCCTAGCCTACACTGTAACTGAACAGAACAGGTGAGTGTTCAAGCTTAGTTCTACTAACTGTCACCTCACAGTGCTAAACAACTTGACAGCTCAATGATAACAGAACATCAAGCTATCTGCTGATGGGGTGGTCACTGGTCATGCTATTAAATATCAATATGGACGCCATTACTAAGTAGCAACTTGGTGTTAATATTATAATTTCATATTTCTGTGCTTTTAATGATAATTGTTATAGGAAAATTGTGCTTAAACATGCTTCAGACCACATAATACTAGTTTTACCATGGTTCTATTATACAATACAAAATGTCTACAAGTTTACTGGAAAGGAACATGTTGAGTTTGTTTTAAATTAATTTGGTGTGTAGGGGCTGTGAAACCAAATTAGCAATGATGTAAATGTTGATACAAACTCAACACTGCTATGTACAGAGATGTAAATTATTAAGAATTACCTTTTCAGCAGTAAAAGAGTCTGTCTGTAGTCTCATGGTGGCTGCGCTCATGTTCTGACTCTCTTGTGCTGTGATCTCCCCTGCCTTAAGTGACCTCTGCTCCTGCAGAACAAGATAAAAATTACTTTAAATGGAGACAGCGGAACGACAAAAATGTTGTATACAGATTCCCTCACCTCTTTTAATGGATTCCGAACAGAGAATCACCACAGACTTTAAATTGTTAAGTATCTGTTAATATTATCCAGCTCTAGCCAATTTGTTAAGGAAGAAGAATGTATTTGGATGAGCGATGAGCCATTCACAGAGTGTGTCTGAAATTCCATTTTTTATAAGACTAATTTCAAGGAGCAGGGGAAAAATTTTTACTATCGAGGTATTCTTAATAAAGAGGTTTCTCCTAGCTCTGAGACAATGACTGAGGAAGGAAAAGGGATGGGTGGGGGTTTCATGTTGAGACAAGCTTCTGTTTGTTTTGAAAAATCAGACTAAGAAGGTTAAGATCATGAGAAATTTGTCTTATAGAGGTTTTCTGCTAAGAATATTCGTTTTATAGAGGTTAATCAGTCCTAGCCTATGTCACAAACAAATTCCTCTTATTGAGGTTTTTATCTTAATAATTACAGAGGTGCTACAGGTTAGGAAGGTGTGTACAGAGATGTTTTTAGCATTGACCTTTATAAAAGTTTCAAAGGGATTTAGAAATCGTTTTATCGAGGAATTCATTTTACTGAGGTTCGTACTAACGAGGTTTGACTGAACTATGACAATTTATCTGGCGTAAAAAATGCTACAGTCTACAGTAAGTATTTATTTCAGCTTGGTATGGTTGAAACATTAGTATAATCAACAACAATCCCTAACTCATCCTCAATACCTCAATACTCGATACCTCAATAGACTTCAAACAGAGAATCACGCAAGAGAAAATATTAAAGTTGACAATAAATTTTAATGTAACACCTACTCACCATCTCAATGAATGTAAAACAGAGAATGACACAGACAAACAATGATCACAATACTTTTAAGTGATGCAGGCTCACTATCACCTACATTACAATGGATTTCAAGCGGACAATCCTAACCATATCACCACCTCTGACTAGAGAAGTGGACTTTGATCAAGACAAGGGGGCCAAGCATATCAGAATATTGGTATAATGAGTAAGAGAAGCTACTGATTATAGATGTAATGGGTTAAAGATTAATAATTTATTTTTGTAAAAAAATACAACCGACTTCAAACGCTCTAAAAAGAATGAAATAATTTCAATCAAGTAATCTATTGTATTAGGCAAGCTCACGTATTTTAAGTCAGCGCGGCTCTATGATGATTTTTGATACAAAATTGAAAGAGGGTGTCCATATTGCAGGTGACTATCTATAACTAAAGGTGTTAATCTGCATGTCTTTTTCATAGTTATGCGTTAAGTGTTATTTTATTACCGTAATCAGAGATCGGCATTATAGTGGTATTAACGAGTATCTTTAAAAAGATTATAAAGCATTTAAATGTTTCTAACTTGGAAAAGTAACGTTTTAATACTAAACTAGCTTCTTTTCCCTATCATAATATCAAACTAAATTATTTTCCTATTCATATAGAACATTTGTGTGTGTTATTTTCATAATGCATTTATTCTGAAGTAAACATAAAATACAAGAAAATATTTCCTTAATATATAAACAAAACAGTTCAGTATATTTTTTTTATATATTTATGTTATCCAGCTACAATTTATTGATTTTCAAAATACACACACAATATTTAATTTCAATCATATTTGCAGTTTGAGCCGCGCCGACTTGAAATACGTGAGCTTGCCTAATACAAAAGTTTACTTGATTGAAATTATTTCATTCTTTTTAGAGCGTTTGAAGTCGGTTGTATTTTTTTACAAAAATAAATTATTTCATGATTTTTAGTGACTGTATAATTTTTTATATATTAATTACTTGAGGTTTTTTGATAAGCAAAACTGTTTGAAACAATCAAAAGTTCCACAGAACAATAATTATTTTAAAACTGCTTGAGTCACCTGTTCAGGTTACATAATCAATGGGTATGAAAATAAACATTTTTAGATATTCCTTAAGAAAGAAAGAGTTGTCCATTATTGGTGTAAGTCATGTAGGGGGTTTTGTTTGCTCAAGATATAGCCTAGTCGAAATTGCAAATCATCTTCCTCTAGGACTTTCCGAAGCAGGCATAATAGTATTGATATGTTATAGTAACTGGGTAGAGAATATTAATAAACATTCCACATCTGCAAATGCGTGTTTAGTAATTAAAATATTTAACACTTTTAAGACAATTGACGATTATGCACTGTCACACTTCTTAGGTCGTGTAAGGAATAATTGCATTTAATTTATATTTAGACCTGTTTTACGAATGCTTTGGTTTTCATAATACACCTTTATTTGTCAATATCATACAGCTATTCACAGAAACATATATGTTTTTGTAAGTCAGAATATTCAATACTAAAAACAGAATTACTGTATACACAAATCAGGTCAAACGTTAAAATACATTTTTTATAGTAACCAAAACAAAATGCATTTTTCTCAATGTAATTAATTTAGGCTCCATGGCAAGAAATAGTTTATTGATCAATATGAAGCAACTGTTTCATGAAGAATTGTCTGTAGCTTCATTTAAATGGTTTCAACTAACAGCTGTAGGAATGTTATTATTATTTATTGCCTTCTCTGCACAAATGTAAACAATCTGCACAAATGTAAACAAAATAAATGTTAAATATTTAAGGTTTTCAGAATTTTTCACCGAAACAAATATTATACTTAAACATAATATATAAGGTACCAAATAGAAACTCTCCTGGTTATTTTGGTGGTGGAACCACACTGATCGGTAAAAGAATCACAGAGCAATTGGTGAACATACATAGAAAAAAAACATCGCCACAAACAAATTGAGAACCTCCTCCTTTTGTTGGTAGTGGGGAAGTCGGTTAAAAATTCACATAGGTTAAATGGTAGCCGGATTTTTCTATCGGGAGTGATGATGAACCAATACCAATACTGATTACCAATAAATCTATCCTAAATATTATCCAGGTCTAGCCAATTTGTTATTTCTCTCCTGAAATGAAGAGTTGTTTCCTTGGGAGTGTCAAATAAAACACATGTTGCAAGAACAACATTCAGAGCTATATTGACTAAAGATCAATTCTAGTTTCAGAACGTTTAGACTCTTCACTTAAAACCTTCCAACGTTAGTTCACGGATCACTCTTTCAGTATTGCTTTGAACTTAGCGATTTCCCACATAGGTAATAAGCTATTACTGCAGGAATTGTGGTAATATTGTGGTAAATTAAAGGGTGTAGTTTTTTTGTTTTGATATCCAAAGAGGCCAAAAACCACTCCCGTTCAAATTCATATATCATATAATACAGGGTGTTCAAAAAAGGTGGGGACATAATTTACATAGTGATTTCTTGGGTCAAAATAAAGAGAAAATCAAGAATAACATTATTCCAAAATCGCTTCGTTAACCAGATAAGTTATCCGTCATTTTGTATTTTTACATGAACATTTTTATCTTTGAATTTGTTCAACCGATCTTTATGAAACTTGGTATGTTTGTTAAGAGTGCAGGGCCGAGTGCCGTTTGACTAAACACTTTGACGAGGGTCATTTTACAGCCTGAGGCTTGGCGGGGCGAGTGCCGGCCAGGTATCAGTGACCGGTTCCACGGTGCGTCGGGTATGGGGGTGGTAAAATCGACCAGAGGGGGATGAGCAAAATTTGTTTTAGGGATAAAATGAAACTGTTATAACCTAACCTAACCAACCCAAACTTGCTGATTACGAAAAAAATGAATGAAGGTTTACTAATCGAATCGATATTAATTTAAAATTAGGGTAGCCCAGTTAAGAAACTTTACCCGGTCTCCGTTACATCCTGCCCACTACACCCCTTTCCACTAATACCCATCCCCTGAATCACTCTTACGCTCTGGGGAGTCAAATGACACTCGGGCCTATCTAACGGTTTTGACAGTTTATAATCCCCACGACAAAGAATAGAACGGCACTCGCTCCGTTTCCCGTTTGTTAAGGCTGGGCGCACACTGATCCAGCATTTCACCTGAAGCAAAATGTTGCACAAGCACAACGATTTGCTTGAAGCGTTTTGTTTATTCAGCAATGGTTCAAGCATGATTCAACATTTGGTTTCAAGCAAAATTAAGAAAAGTAAATATTAGAATTACATATTATGTCTACTCGTCTTATACTGCAGTATTGTTTTAACATATGTGACGAGGAAGTCGACTATTGAGTGTCCGCTGTATGTCAGTTTTTGTAAAATGCTGGACTAAATAGAAAGACAACATTGGGTTCACCCAATCAATCTGTTGATAGACAGCTTTCCTCCCAGAAATTAAATCAGATCCAGGGAAATTTTACAATCATTGTCGAATAAATGCTATACCCTACTATTTTATAGAAAGGGTTTTAAATACAGTAAGAAATTATTATTAGATAGTGTCGTGATGGTTATATAAATAGGTACCGGTAATGATTAATGAACTGAATAACCTTGGTAATTTCTTAATTATTTTACTACTTTGCATGACTACCAAAATGGTAGCAAGAAAAATTAAACAACAGTATTGTTCAATATAAATTCAAAATATAATTGTTAAGTTTTAACGCAACTTCTAAATTCAGTTTTCAAAGAAGAGTTATTTTTTAATCAACAAACGGTCAATTGAATTTTGAAAGCCACTAAGCTTTACTAGCTAGAAAGGATTTGGCGCATGCGCAGAACACCGGGGCTGTAGAATACTTTAACATCACGTAATTATTAAGATCTTTTAACATTGAAAGAATACGTTTATCATTGTATTCTAATGCCCCGGTGTTAGTGTACACAATCTCAACGAGTAGTGCTCCGACAGCGCAAGGCATCAAAGGTACGAATTCACAGCCCAAACGAGTTGACATATCACTTTTTTTCAAACTACAACATACAGATACATTTTTCCCCAAAACAAACAGCTATTTTAATTTTTTTTATTTAATTAAAAAAATTCATAAAAAACCAAATTAAAAAAAAATTAAAAAT